CACTAAACTTATAATCGTCACTAATGCCTGCATAATCTAGAGGACTAATTCTTCTAAAAGAATGCCAATACCCTCTCTCTAGTGCTCTATTAAAGTTAATTTAAATTCAAGTCAAATGAAACCTATAGCTCTGGTGGAATGAACAATAATACGGTCGTGAATCGTCGGTTGTTGTCGCTCATGATAATGTTGTCAAGAGGTTGTTGATTGCTGTTGATGGTGTTGCCTTGGTGTCGTATTTTGTCACAATGTTGTTGTGTTCTGTTAATGATAAAAACGATATTAACCACAAGACAACAACAATACTTATAACAACTCTAATACAATAATACTGATCATAGCAATAATAAAAGTGATGATAAGTTCTGTGATAAAATTATCAGTAGTAATATCGCACCATCAAAATAAGTTCAGTTCAAAGCAAACCTTCATCGTTTTGCAGAGATGAACAATTGGTGAAGTGTGTGGTTGAGTTGGTTAATATGTTGATTGTTGATGAAGCGATCCAGTCATCTGAAATATAACTAATATAAATAATAAGAGGATCTGAAATCTAGCGAATACAGCTAGTAATCTGACATAATAAGATAGGATTCATCATAATTAAACAGAANAATAAGAGGATCTGAAATCTAGCGAATACAGCTAGTAATCTGACATAATAAGATAGGATTCATCATAATTAAACAGAAACAGTTAGAGTTGGTACTCATACAACGGAAACAGTTCCAAAAAGCATTGCTTTCTTACTTTATTGAGGTTGTTGTTGAGTGGTCAGTGATGTTATGACCATTGTTGATGAGATCGTTGTGTTAATAATTGAACTGTTGCTGATCTCGTTACTGCTGAGCCTTTGTTGAGCTGTTGTATTCGTTAGAATTTGACGATTAGTTGAAGATATTAGTCGCTCTTGTCAGTCGATATTGTTATTGTTTCGTTTCGCATGGATCTGAGCCGCCACGGTGGCTAAGGGCCGCCACGACCCCGCCACCTCAGCTTCTCAGGGGACCGCGATGTATGAATAATCACGGCCGAGCTCCCTGAGGCGTTCGGCGGTCTCAATGCGTGCCCCCAGGATCTTTTTGGGGGCCGAAGCGCATCTCTCGGCGCGATGCGCGTCCATGCGTATCGTCACCTGCCTCGCCGAGAGGCCGTCGGGCATGTTGACATTATGCCCGCACCAGGTGCATAAATCTGAAATGTATTTTTTGTTGACTTCAACAATTTTTTGATGCATATTTCATCGGTATGAAATAATTTGTTTTAGTGACACCATACGAGTTGATGAAGATGTATTATTGTGCGATTCGCGACATCTTTTGATTACCAAATCAGGTTATTATCAGGTTGCTACAGTTATTTAATTATCTTTATCAATAGAAAGAAAGCTAAAAAATAGAAGCATTGAACGATAGTTACAAATGCGTTTGATCAAAATGATAGTGATAAAAGGTGAGATGATGAAGAAATAATTTGGAACTTACTGTTAGTATTATGGCAGTTAGCCCTTCTGACGTGAGTCTTCCAGGCGGCCACCGTCGCAAATGGGGTGGCTCGCCTGCTGCAGCCGGGTAACTGACAGTCTGAAATCCGTTAATCACATGAAAAAATTCATTAATAGACCATAAATAGTGCATTAACCTTAAGATTTCTCAAGCAGTATTCTATGAATCGCCATCTACCAATACACAATACGAATAAGACACAACTATGTATTTCTAACATTATCATGACATTGTCAGAACATATCGTTGTGATGCGATACTGAAATAGATAGAATTTCAGCGAAAATACTTACAAATTTTATGGTGACGAACGGTGAATGGCGGTGTTGTTGGTGATGTCAGTTCGGCTGCCATTTGAGGTGTTAGTTGGGTTATGTTAGCGGCCTCGAAATTCTGTGGCCGAGGT